CTTTCCCTAGTTTTAGTTTAACTTTGTTTCCTGTGTTCTCCCTTTCTGTCTCTGTTTTCTATTTCTTCTCCCTGTTTATTGCTCCAATTCTACTCTGTTTTTATATTTTTCTTAATCATTCTGCTTCCTCTTGTATTCTTTTTCATTTTTCCCTTTCACACCATTGCTACTACCTTTTCCTGTTCATTCACTGTTCATAGCCACTATCTACCTCAAGGTCTGCATTGCACTTTATGCTGCTCTGCTTTCTGTATGTTAGCAGTAAAGTGAAACTAACCAAACCCAATTTAACTTTGCTGCAGGTATCACACTAGTGGAGTGGCAAAGAAGAGCAATGCTGGAACCGAAGAGATGTGATGTGTGTTTGACTGGTATGTATGCTACACTGTTTTAAGTGTTCATGTATGAAAGAATACATACATGAAAATCATGTTTAATTACTTGCATGTTCTAGTCTAGTATTTTGGGGGTTTTTTTGGTAAAGAAAAAAGAAAAGCGGGGGGAGACAATTCAGGTCTAAAGCCCTTAGTTTACTGCGAAGGAGGAATAAGACCTATTATTTTTATTCTTTGTTTCCTTTTTTGTTCTAGGAAGTGATGGTAAGAGAATGTCATCAGGCTTCCGAATAAAACCGAAGAATGCCGTGCAAAAGAGCAGGACCTCTCCATGTCCTTCCCCAAATTCTCCAGAACCTACAGTTAAGACACAACCAAAACCTAGTGATAAACTTAACCCCAAAACTATTGATCCGGTATGTAAAGATATTTCTAAACAAATTCATTTTTCCTGGAAGCCTACCAGTATAAATTACTAAGGACAGCAGCAGGTGAAGGAGTCACAAAAGGTGCAGACAGTGACAATTTTTACCTCATCTGGTTGCAGAAAGTAAATAATAGTTGTGACCAAACACAAGTGCATGGATGCAGATACCTTAAAAATGTCTGATTGGGTGAAAATATGAACCCTCATTCCATGAGGTATCAGATAAAGATGTTTGAAAATGTAGTGTCTTCTGTAACTCGTGTCTGCTGAGCTCCCAGCCTGTTACTGTTTTCGGAATGGGAGGGAGTTCAGTCTGGGTTTTTTTCAGTCCCCCTCAGAGGGTGGGGCAAGTGTATTGGTGCCACCCCAACCTGAAGTAAGGAGTCCAGTTCACCCACCCCACTCCAGCACCAGCTGGGGAGCCCCAAGAGCTCCCTCTGCTGCCTCTCCCTCCCATTCTGAAACCAGCCAGCACTGACAGAGAGCTGTGGCTGCTACTATGGGAACCTATCTGCAGGCTCCCATCCTGCAGCTGGACTCCTCTCCCCTCTGGAGCCAACAGTGAACTCCTGTTTGGTCTGGGGTAACGTTGTAACTCAGAACACTGCAGAACATGTTCTGAGTTACAGCTAGTAACTGCACTTCTGTCTGCACCCATAGATTACAGCATTAAGTCTGAATGTCAGAAATCTTTGCATAGAAAATCTATGGTTTCCTAGGATTTAGACGTTCTTGTGTACCAGAGATTCAGATTCTGATTAATTTAACTTGTGAATATTTGGAATCAGTTTCTAGCTCTTCCAGAGACAGAAACAACAGTGGATTTATTTACATTGTGTCAGGTATTGTATCTTCAATCTGTACTCTGAAAAACTAACTCAACAGAACCAGGAGAGACTAACCAGTCTCACCTTTTTTCTGGTTTATTGACTAAAAGTCATTACACCACTAGTTAACTAGTTTGCTCCATGTCTTTTGCAAAAATCCCACGGATGTGATAGCTAAACTTACTTTTTAAATCTTGGCACTTCATACCTTTTAAAACTTATTTTCAAAGATGCCAGTTCTGAACAGTTGCATGTATCATGTTTGTTTGGCACAGAAGTTTTGGACTCCTGTGGTGTTCTTTATAAAGAGATTTTAGAGACTGGAGCAGAATTTTATGCATTTTACATGTGACCAGCTCAAACTGTCACAATAGCCAAAAAAGGCAATATCTGAGTTATCACTAGGGATCCAGGTTTTCTGTTCATTGTGGAAAAACACAGATTTTCTTCTTTAAAGGGGAAAAACATAGGAAACTACAAGTTTCCCCTTGTAGGCTGGCAGAGTTCCAGCCTGTAAGGGGTTGCTTGGGGTCGGGGGATGTGCGACACAGGGCACCACGTGCATGTGTGTGCATGCATGCATACACATGGCCAGCAATACATCCAGGCAGCAGTGGAGAGCATCTCCTCCAGCTGCCTGCAGGTAAGTCTATGGGAGAGGGGGCACAGGTGACATGTGAGAGGGCAGGTGTGTAGATTGAGGTGGTCACAATGAGGGAGGGAGTGGGACAGAGTCAGAGTTGTGCCCTGCTGGCAGCAGGGGGGCACAACTCCACACTGCCACCGCCACCCCTGCTGCTACTGGGAAGGCACGGGGTGCCTTGCTATGGTAGCACAGTTGGTGCAGGGCACCCACTGAGTCTTACTGCCCTGCTCTGCCCTCCTGTGCCAGCTCCCACCTACTGGGCTGTGGAGGACAATGTAGTACAGGCAGCGTGGCATGGAGCCCAAGCCCTGCAGCTGGCAACTCACATCCTCTCCCATCCTCCACGGGCTCTGCTCGGCTCTGCTTTGGCTGTGATGCTTGCAGAGGGGAGAGGACCCAGGCTCTGTGCTCCGCTCTGGCTGCAGTAGCCATTGCTACCTGCAGCAGCCAGGGCTTGAGTGCTGCTGGCATGTGTGGGGCAGGGAGCATATAGGATACAGCCACGAGGTCCCATAGCCCTGGTAGCTGGGGGGCCCCCCCAGCAAGGCTCGGGGTGGGGCAGGGGGCTGTTGGTCGGGAGTGAGGAGCACCAGCAGGGCTGGGGAGCTGTGATTTGGGAGTGAGAGGCACTGGAAGGACTGGGGAGGCTGGTTTGGGAGTGGGGAAAATGGCATGGGCAGGGCAACAGCATATCAGGGCTGCTCAGTGCCACAAAGCAGTACAAGAGAGCCACAGCCAGACCCACGTCCTGGTGAGTGAAGGGGGCAGCGAGATCTCTGATTTTCATAGATTTCATATTTCATAGACATTAGGGCTGGAAGGGACCTCGGAAGATCATCGAGTCCAGCCCCCTGCCCAAAGGGCAGGAAGTCAGCTGGGGTCATAGGATCCCAGCAAGATAAGCGTCCAGTTTGCTCTTGAAGGTGTTCAATGTAGGCGCTTGAACCACCTCCGGTGGCAGGCTGTTCCAGACCTTGGGGGCTCGGACAGTAAAGAAATTCTTTCTTATGTCCAGCCTGAAACGGTCTTGTAGTAGTTTATGACCATTCGACCTAGTCATCATCCCTTGGGGCGCTCTGATGAACAAACGTTCCCCCAGATACTGGTGGTCACACCTGATAAACTTATAGGTGGCCATCAGATCACCCCTGAGCCTGCGCTTTTCCAGGCTAAAGAGCATCAGGGCTCTCAGCCTGTCATCGTAGGGTCTGCTTCCCTGACCTCTGATCATGCGCGTGGCTCTTCTCTGGACTCTCTCAAGCTTCTCCACATCCTTTTTGAACTGTGGAGCCCAAAAGTGGACGCAGTACTCCAGCTGCGGCCTCACTAAGGCCGAGTACAAGGGGAGAATGA